GAGAGTTTAATAGGACATTTTCAAAATCATATTTATAAACTTAAAATATGTTTTCTTCTTTTGAATGGTTCTTTTCCTTGGTCTATTTATGATATTCTTGCACACATTACAGTTATATACAAGTAATTAACAATTAATGATGTAATGATATACCTTACTTTACCGGGAGTTGAACCTGCGACCTCAGGGTTACTCCTACGTCCTACGTAGGACTTCAAATGCCACATTTTGTCAATCGAAGACCATACCAAAGTAAAGACACAACTGACAGTATAATAGGCAACTGTTATGTATACCTGTTTGGTGATATCAACCAGCTAGACCCTGTAGGAGATCAACCTATCTACAAGTCTGATGATAAAATGCCACTAAGCCAGTGCATAAAAGGCAGAGAAGTAATCAGCAGTTATCAACATTCCTTCCAATTTACCGAAATTAAAAGACAAAATGATCCTAGCTTTCAAAGACCACCAAATAATGTCAGTGACGGTAAAGTAACTATCGAGGATTTTAATATCCTGATGACAAGATTTTATAATATTTTTACTGATGAAGAATAAAAAGATGTTTGAAAATGCAGTTCACTTGTTCCCAACAAGGCAAGAAGTGAAAACGTTCGATGAATTTTGTTTGGTTCGTTTGAAAGATGCAAATAAAAATCCCGTACCTGTTGTGCAATCTGAAGCAGTCCACAACTGTGCAATAGCTACCAATGGAAGTCCAGAAGATGCTAGTGAAGTAGAATCATTGGTTCTACTTGCAGAAGGAGCTTCAATAATGCTACTAATCTGTGGACAAAACGAGGTCTGGTAAATGGCTCTGTAGGACGTATTGTGCACATTATCTACAATGACAATGATGAACCACAAGTTGACATACCAGCAATTATAATATGTCATTTTGATAAGTACAAAGGACCCTACACAGCAACAGAGGATGACTTGCCAAACTTGTGTGAAATTCCTAAAACACCACACCTAATAATTGCTGGTAAATTCTCACATTTTTGTTTCAAATTCTAAGGTTGAAGTTTGAGCCATATGTTCATAACAGATTTAAAACTTGTTCCAATTGCAGGGACTAGCCTCTTTAACTACAAGACTGTTTATTTTTCCTTGGATGGAAAAGTAATGGGAACGGCTCAAGACCTACTGAAGGGATTTGCAATGCTCTTTGCATCATACTTTGTCTCCAACGTGGAATATGATGCAATGGCACAAGTTACTCTTGGGTTCTTTCAAAGGTATTGTCAGCAATATATTTTAAAGATATGCAAAGGACAGTAATTTACTACCTTTAAACTTCCAAAAATATTTACGGCCTTTCTCTCAGGTTTGTGGTACATGGATATATCACCAGCAAGGGGAAACAAGCGCCCGAGCAAGGAACATGGAGGTCATCACAGCATATACAGTCTCCACCCTCATGTCGGCAGGCTAACTGACCAAATGGAGGAGTTTTTTTGCCGAGCATGATGAGGGGAGTGCTGACACAGAGGAAATGGAGAATGAAGGCTTGTAAATAATGACTCTATATTGGAATTTGTCTACTGAACTTGTCATGACCATTATTGTTAACTAGGTAGATGTACGCCAGACCACGTCTCGCGTAACAGGCTTCGCGATAACTCACGAAACACTGTTACCCTGCGACGCGCCTGGCATACATCTACCTAGGCCTGCGGCGCTGACACCCGAGTCGGGTATCGCAAATATGAACACAAAGATACGGGCCTCCGGCCCGTCAACTTCCCGTCACTTCGACTAAGCATGCAGTGTTGTGCATTTTTTCGCTTATTTTCATCAAAAACTACATGTGGCGCCTAACCGGTTAACCTCACCCCCTCCCCGTCCCCTCATCCTGGGCGGAGGCGGGGCAGTGTGGATAGCACCTTGGAATGCGTCCGGGCCCACCCCGCCCCCTCCTTCGCCTACAACCACTTTTACTACTTCCAAAGTTTTTAGTGTCACTGCCTTTGCCCTGCTGCACTACTAACGGCCTAGCGGGTACCGGCGTGGAGGGTGACCAGAGGTCAGGCCGCCTCGCTTTACCCAAAGGCGACCGGGCCGGCCAATGTCCACTCATCGCGACCGGCCGCCGCGGGCTCCCTCCCAGCTCTCTTCCAGAGGCTCACTGGAGCTCTCCTCTTACAGGTCGTCGCATCTCGACTCAGGAACACAGTGCAAGAGCGACACCACCACCGCACCA